TTAATATAGTTTGTATCGCGCGCGTGCATTGGGTCTAAGATCCTTACGAGAAACGAAAGCGTATATGGATGTATGTTTTTGGAGGCCGCAAGCAGCGAGAAATGAAAATATCGCAATTGGCGAAAACTGAGCGTCACATGGGCGTGACGCTGAGCGCTAATGGATCGAGCGAATAACAAAATTGACATGAACGTTAAAGCACATCTGAAAAAACTCCGGGAAAGCTCGATAGAATCCATTAGATAGGTATAAATAAACCTGCAACTTTTACACAGGTGCACTCTTTAAAAAAAAAGTCGCTTTTGTTCATATTCGCTTCCTGTTTGAAGTATATGTCTATTCTATCTTTGAAAATGTGTGTCGATTTATCATGTTACATAAATTAGTTATTATATTTACACCGTTTATAATACGATCAGTTTCTATAAATGTACTCGTTTTTTATTCTCCAATAATACGAGCGTTATTAAATTTTACTTCTCACACCGTGTAATATTTAATATTAAAAGATTACAAGAGATAAAACCAGTCTTGAAAAGTTGCAATTTTAAAATAAAAAAATCTATCAGATTTAAGCTCAAAAGTAAGATAATTTTCATAACGCAAACTAAATTACAGTGAGCTTGCTTAATCTATAATAAGATATCTATTATGAAAATAATCTTGAAGGAGCCGTAGTCACAAAATATCGTTTTCAAATGAAACGCATGGGATACATACCGCTTGAGAGGCGCCTGAGGTGTCGATATGGACGAATCGCAGTTGATCCGCCGGAAGGGGTCATGCCTGAGAACGTTTGACTTTATTGGAGGAAATATGAGCGGGCTCTGGCAGTGCTCTGGGCGGTATTCCCGGTACGCCGGGAATCGGATGTGCGTGGGGAGAGGGAGGGGACCTGCAGCACTTCCAGCCCGAGGGGGATGTACCCGGGGCTTGGGAAGGATTCATTCATATCGCGAAGCCGAGTCTCATTGTCGGAGCGGAGCGGCGGACAAAGCGAAAGCAGGGGGACTGAAGTGCTGTCAGGACCAGTGCACTCCATTGCACGACACAAATGGCAACCAAAAGTGGGGCGGGAGAGAGACGAGGATCGAGAGCCGAAAGGTGAGCCCGCACGAAGGAGCGATCTGTCGCCATTGTATCGCGATCGATCTCGCATTGCATTCATTCGCGGATATCGCGAAAGCGATTCGCATGGCTCGTTTTATAAGTCGACAATAGGAATTGTTCCCTTTAATGTAGGTCTACCTTCATCTTGACAATAAAAATTTCTTTTTTTTTCACTCTATACTTGTTCCTCTTCTAACTTTACATATCATCATTATGGCTATTTATTTGAATACTAAAGCTAAAAGTTTAACTTTTGAAATTTCATTATTAGGAAAGATTGAAAAATTTCAAGTTTGATGATTATATTCGGATGCGAGGGAAAGAAAACCATAATGTAGATTAGTAATATTCGTATCATGATCTTTTTACACACACTGAGAGAAAAGATATAGTATTGGTAACAAAAAAAGAGAATTATTCACAATTATCATTGGATTACTTTGTTAAAATTACAAAATACAATATTTTTTTGTAAGATGAACAAAATTTTTTTATTTAACAGTACAAATTTATTTGGTTACTCACGTTTTATAAATACCAATGTAAAATTTGGTTGCCACTACAAAATAAGTATTCTTTTAGTAATTTCAACAAAATAATCCACTATGGTAGAGCAAGAAGTGTTTCGCGAAGCTATCAGAAATGGCGTGTCTTCTCGTAAGAGAAATTCAACGTCTACCTCTATAAAGCCGAGA